GGTGGCTCACGCCTGTAATCCTAGCACTCTGGGAGGCCAAGGTGGGAGGATTGCTCAAGGTCAGGAGTTCGAGACCAGCCTGAGCAAGAGCAAGAGACCCCATCTCTACTAAAAATAGAAAAAATTAGCCGGGCATGGTGGCGCATGCCTGTAGTCCCAGCTACTCGGGAGGCTGAGGCAGGAGGATAGCTTGAGACCAGGAGTTTGAGGTTGCTGTCAGCTAGGCTGATGCCACGGCACTCTAGCCCGGGCAACACAGTGAGACTCTGTCTTAAAAAAAAAAAAAAAGAAAAAGAAAACTGCCTAGACGTAAGGAATTTCGGACCACTTGCCACTTCTGTGGCAGAAGTTATCAAGGTCTTGTAAGACGTTGAAATTGAAAGTCCCGTTTCTAGGCCACTGGGAGCTATTGTCCAATTTATACATGTGCCAAGTGGTGTTGCAGAAGAAAATAAGGCGCTTGGGCCGGATATCGGGCCTGAGGCCCAGGACAGTCAGGTGAGCCAGGAGACAGCCCAGGGAGTCTCCCGCGGAATTTTGGAAGGTTGGCTGCCCATCATGTCCCAACCCAAATGGGGGAAACAGACAAGAACAGTTTCCTGGCTATGGAGGCCACAGAAATCTGGGGACGTCTCCCCAAGACTAGTGCGCCGGCACAGAAAGGGGGGAAGAGAGAAATTCAGGCATCCCCGAATAATCTCAAGCCCTGGATCGGGAGAGCCTCTGACGTGGGTCCACGGTTTAACAGACAGGATCCGGTGGAGGGGAACAGAGACTCTCGGTGGGAGATTCGAGTTGAGACAACACAGGGTGACTCACCGAGGCTGAGAGAGAATCAGGGACCTGAGACGTGGCCGAAGATCATTGTCCGGAGGGTCCGTCAAAGGGGGGGGCGCCATCCCAAGACCACAGTCCCGGTGGCACCACTCGCCCTTTCCTGGTTTCGGCACCAAATGTAAGGTTTTTGGTGGCGGAGAGACCAGTGGACACAAGTTATGGACAAACAAGTGGCTTTATTAAAGCACTCCTGGGCGAGGTTCACAGGTCCTAAGGTCAGGGCCTGAGAAGTCGCGCCGCCCAGGACTGAGGCAGGGTTTTTATATGTGGGGTGAAAAAGGGGGTCTTGGAACATTCAGGTAGGATGTGGTTGTTTGAAGTCTGAGTACTTTGCCTACAGCAGCTGAGTAGGGCAGGAAACCGAGCTCAGGGTGTTCAGCCAGCGAAGCTGTTCTTGCCAGTCATAACAGGATGCGGTCTGGCCCCAGCTGCAAGCCAACAGGGAAGGGGCCCAGGGCTGTCATTGCTGTGCCTGTGGGGGTCTTTTGGCCAGCCTTACAGTGGTGACACCTTGATTCCTGATTGACATA